CCCAGCCCCCTGAGCAGGCCCCCCCCCCCCACACAGCAGGCCCCAGCCTCCGCAGCAGGCTCTGCCCCCCCGCAGCAGCCCCCGCCACCACATGGCCTCAGCTCCCCCCCACAGCGACCCCACCACCACCCTCCCTCAGCCATCCTGGAGCAGCCCCAGCAGGAAGGTGAGTGTTGCTGTGCGGCTCTGCAAAGCAGGTGGGTGGGCGGAGAATGTTCTTGTGTGTGGCCGCGCAGGCACACACCTTAGCGGGAACTCTGGTTCCAACCCCTCGGTGTGCATCTCTCCCCAGGGTGAAGGAGGTGTACAGACTGGAGGAGAACCACCACCCTCCCTCAGCCATCCTGGAGCAGCCCCAGCAGGAAGGTGAGTGTTGCTGTGCGGCTCTGCAAAGCAGGTGGGTGGGCGGAGAATGTTCTTGTGTGTGGCCGCGCAGGCACACACCTTAGCGGGAACTCTGGTTCCAACCCCTCGGTGTGCATCTCTCCCCAGGGTGAAGGAGGTGTACAGACTGGAGGAGATGGAAAAGATTTTTGTACGGTAAGTGAATAGAAACAGTGAGACACTTCAGAGCAAGTCAGAGTTCGCAAATGCCGTGTGTCAGCAGAGATGGGGGGGCTCTATTGCTGTGTGCGAGGCAAGCAGCTGGTGAGAACCCTTGTCAATGCGGGGGTGTTTGTGGGCCGGTCTGTCAACTTGCTAATTCTGCATGGCTGAGACTAGTCTGTTCTGGAGCAGCATGTGTGGCTTTACTGCACTAGAGGGAAGCAGCTCTCTTAGCCTTGCAGCCCAAAGAGGCCCATTCCCTTCCTGCCCTGTCACACACCAGGGGACAGCTACACTTGTGGTTGCCAGCAGAGAGATTTGCAGTTTGGACAGACCTGGAATGGAAACCCTGGTTGGGTTAAATACAGTAAATCACTGAAATGACCCGTGGTCCAGCACTGAGTCTCTGGCTGACAGTCTGTGTGCGCAGGGAGTCCTGGCCCCTTTTCCCTAGCCGCGGCAGGGGGAGACACAGAGAACTGGTCAGTGGCCTGTTGGTTTGTTCTACGGTGTGCCGTGCTGTCCAGTTCCACTACAGCTGTCTCTGAAGTGTGTGGCCTTGTGTGAACTCTTCTAAGCATCCCTTCTCTTGGCACTCAGGTTAGAGATGAAGATCATCAAGAGCTCCGGTGGAATACCACGGCTGTCCTACACGGGCCGGGACGACAGGCACTTTGTGCCCATGGGACTCTACATAGTCAGGACTGTGAACGGTAGGGAGAGCACTGCAGCCCTTTTGCCCTCATTGTTTTCAGGAGAGGGAAGGAATTTTGTTCTTTAAAGACACAGGGCCACGCTGTGCCCTGGGGTAACCCCATAGATGTCTGTGAAGTTACCCAACAGCTGGATTTAGCCCTTGTCCGGTTACAGTTGGCTTGGGTGGCATTAGGGTGAGGGTGGGTCAGCTGCCACCATTGTGGTTGGATTAGCTACTCTGGGGTTTCAGTTTGTTCACATGGGTCCTATTAACTGGATTCAGGATCATGGATTTCCTATCTGGAAAGAGCTCTCTCCAAATTAGTTCAGGCTGGGCTGGGTGCAAGCTTTGCCTCTTGAATTGACAGCTGCTTGAGTACACAGGGCCTTCTGGGGGGCTGGAGGGAGAAAGTGGGATGTCAAGTTGGCCTCTCACATCATCCCCAATCTGATGTGCCTCCTTTCTGGTCCTGCCCTTTGTCTGTCCCCTGTGGCTTTGCCCTAGATCCTTGGACAATGGCGTTCAGCAAAAACTCCAAGAGGAAATTTTTCTATAACAAGACAACCCATGAGTCGACATACGATCTCCCTCATGAATCCATCGCACCCTTTCAGTGAGTACGATCCCACAGAGTTGGCCAATGGGGTTGAGGCCTTACAATGTTCTGCAGTGGGGCCCCGTGCCTCTGCTGTGTGCCCAATCCTTCCCTGTAGGCCAGTGGTGGCAGTAGGCCCTGCTCTGGCAGTGCTGCCCAGAGACCTGCTTCTGGAGCCCTGTAATTAGGGGCTGACTTTCGAGTTGGCCACATCCAGAGGAGCTTGGTGGGCCCCAGTCTGAGCATATGGGCATGGGTTCCAGCCGGGTTGGGTGGCAGACGTGCACTCTAATGGGCAGAGCACGAAACTCCTGGCCTCACTTCCTGGCTCTGCCACTGACCCGCTGTGAGCGAGTCACTTGGTGCCTCAGTTTCCCCATCTGTGATGGGGGATGGTGCTGCTGCAATTTGTGGGGGAAAGGTGGGTTCTGAAACTTAGTGGCTGTAAAGTACGCTGAGGTTCTTGGATGACAGACGTTAAGTAAATATTGAATTACAGCAGAAATCCACTTACTCCCAACTGGGATGCCAAGAAAGTAGTCAGGAGCTCATGGAGAGAACTGGGAGCCTCTTAGACAGGGGCCTATCCCTTAGGGTTCAGAGACTAGGGGCCATGGGATATCAACATGCCATTGCCTCTTAGGAAAGTGAGTCTTATGAGTCTGTTTCTCAGCACAGTGCTCAGCACTCCCTGGGCAGACAGCACAGGCCTGCATTGTGACCCAGCTGGAGGCTGATGTGAAATGGGGCTCCCTGCACACCCCTCTAGCCTCCGTCCTGGCTTTCAACCATGCTCTGGGAATCTTTCAGGCTTTCCCCTGTCAGCCAACGGAACAGTCTCTTGTTAGCCCAGGGCCAGGAGGGCTGCCCCTCACAAATTGGGGAGGGTGCTTTTCCTCCCTTCCAGCCTTCCCTGCAGAATTCCAGCACCAGACTCCACCACTGCTATGAAAACAAAGCAAGGAAGGGCTTTGTGTGTGACTCTGTAATGGGTGCTCTGCCTTGTCGTTAGTGAGCACTAATGTGTCTGTAATTAGCCGCTGACACATGCGTTTGTTGCTATGCTAATATCGTTCTGTTAGAACAGTGTACCTAAATAAGCTATGAATATTAAGCGTCAGTAATTGTATGAATCTAAGGCTGCTGTGTCTGCAGCAATTAGCAGCTCTGTTTTCACACTGGGTAACTAATACCCAAATGGGGTGGGTTGAGTCTCTGCTCAGGGATGAATTGAAGGATGGATTTCTGGTTTGGCCGAGATTCACTGCATCTCCAGAGCTCATGTTGGCAACGTGGGGGTTAATTTGATCTCTCATCCCCACTATTCCCAGAGTGTGCTGAGTCCCTGCTGTGTCGATTCTGCCTGTTGACCCTGCCAAGTCCTCTGCTAGGGCCTTGACCTAGTCTTTAATGAAGTTACCATGTTTGCCTCACCCTCTTAGGAACTTGAAAAACATAATTCCCCTAACTGATTGTTCCCAGTTTGAGCAGACATTGATTTGTCCCTCCCACTGCTTTGAACAGAGTTGCAACTAACAAAGCCATTTCCATGGAACGCACTTCAGTTTATAGGTCACGTTGGGGTGTCTGGATTTGTGTCAGCACGTACTTTGTGGAGTAAGCCCTGTAACATGATTGCTGGTCTGACTAGCTGTAGCCTGCACCTACTCTGTGGGGTGCTGTCCCGTATCATGTGGTTGCCACACACTGAAATTGATGAGCCTGCAACAACAGCCTTTGCTAACAGAGCTCAGTGTTTTAGTGCGGGCAATAGACACTCACGTTTTGTTCAGTCTCTGCTATCCACAATGCAGCTGGGATTTGCCACTGCAGGGACAAAGTTAAAAGCTGGGGCAGAGAAAGATTTGAAGAGCCCTCTGGGTTAATACAGCAAATAACGGGCCCCCTTTACAGTGCCTCCTAGAAACCCTACCACGTATGCTCACAGGCCAGCTGTCTCTAAAGCAGTGGTGAGCAACCCACGGCCCACTGGGGCTCTGTGTGTGGCCTCCAGACATTTTGTTTAGCATTGGCCATGTGCAGCATTGCCTGGTGCCGCTGGGTTCCAGCCTCATATTTTTTTCCTACCAGTGTTACTGAAGTGACACACACCTAAAGCAAGGGCACGTAAAGTGAGGTGCATATTCATTGCACCCAGCACTGACTGTATCAGAGGGGTAGCTGTGTTAGTCTGCATCTGCAAAAATGAGTTCCACTAGCACCTTAAACAAGATTTATTTGGGCCTCAGCTTTTATGGACAAAGACTCGCTTTGTCAGATGCATCTTTCATCTTTGCCCATGAAAGCTTAGGCCCAAATAAATCTGTTAGTCTTTAAGGTGCCACAGGACTCCTCGTCGTTTAACACCGACTGTGAGAGCGACTGCTCCCTCTGCAACCAATCAAAGAGCAGCTGTGGTTCATTTGGCGTATCCTGCAAATTCTAGGTAGGCAAGCAGTTAGCAGAACTACCCAACCTGGGAGACTGTCTTGGTGACGACAGTCCAGAGGCCCACTGAGATGGAGGGCCACTCACTATCCTGGGTTGCTGCTCCGAAGTGTCTTTGTAGCCTGTGCTGATTGCATCCCTTCGCCGTGTACTGTGTTTGCTGTGCTGATCTGTCTCCTCTTTTTGCCTGCAGCATCTGCTATTTCAGCCGTCTCTTCTGGGAATGGGGGGAAGGGGTCAAAGTGCACGACTCCCAGAAAAGGCAAGATGCGGAGAAGCTGTCCAAGGAGGAAGTCCTTTCTTTCATCCAGGCGCACTACCCCTGATCCCCCAGCGTGAACTCTCTGGGGACTGACTGATGAGAGGGGAGGCAAAGACAGGAGGAGGGAGTCTTCCATCCAGGAGCTGCAGGCCTTCTGTGGAGGAGAACTGATTCCTGGGGGTTGGAGGGTGGGGTTTGGTGCTCAGAAGAAGTGGGATAAAGCCCCAGCCTGTGAGTACCAGTTTATACAAGTATCTGGCCCAGGCAGCAGCGGCGGTAGGTGCCTCAGAGGTGAGATACCAGGAGCCATGGTCTGATGCTCCTCTGTGCTATCCCACTGCATTCCTGGCAGCTTTCCCCACTCGTGCTCCGAACTTCATCCAGGTGTCTGCTCTCCGAGTTCCACTGCTACATGTGCGGAGCAATTAGGAGGCTGCATACTGTTCCCTGGCAGCACTGAGAGAAAAGGACAGTGGTCACAGGATGTAGGGAGGTCTGTACCTGGGAAGAGTGCATTTAGAAGGCCTTGCCGCTCTCCCGGCAGCCACCTCTGTCTCCTTCGCCTCGAGCCAGTGGGCTTTTGTTAAATACAGGGATGGCTCATTGGGAAGTGCAGGCTCTTGGCATGTGAGGATAGTCACTTTTTGCCAGTGGCTCCAGCACTTCCGCCCCAGAGGCACTGGGCAGGTTGTGAGGAGTTCTTGGGTGCTAGCATTTTGGTGGAAGGAAGCCAGTCCTCATGGCAGGAGATCACTGACTCCAAGCCAGCAGCCTAGGTGTGAGCACATGAATCTGCCCTAGGATAATGCTGAGATGTTTTGCTTTTTTCAGTGCTCAAAACCATCCCCCAGTTTCCGTCTCTCATTACCCCTCCATGTGTGTTCAGTGATGAAAGCAAAACGGGGAAGGGACCGTGACTCTTACCATGCTGGTTAGTCAAAAGACAAGCAATCCCACAACCATTGTAGGAGAAACCCATCTTTCCTGTTTGAATCACAGAACAGGCTTTACCCCCTGCCCTCCCCTCCAGACCTAGAGCCATGTCTGTAGCAAAAGGCACAGCCCTGGGATTCTAGCATGGCAGCAGGACATTTGTGTTTCAGCAGATCACAGTTCAAAATCATGACTCATTTCAGTGCTAGGCCCGCTACACAAAGCCACCCCAAAGAGCAGGACTGCCCTCATTGCCTGTTTTAACTTTGTGCTGGCCTTCAGAAATGCCTCTGGCCTAGGCTCACACGTGGATCAGAAGTTAATAGGTGGTTGGCTGCTTCGATCCATGCAGTCACTTATTTTTTCTTACACGGGTTGGCAATAAGGGAAAAGCTGACTTGGGGGTTGCCTAGACTGTGCCTTAAAGAGAACTGTGTATCTCTTGGAAACTAGAGGCAACCTTTCAGATTCTCATCCCCTCTTCATCCTCCCCAGGCCAGTGCAGGATGTGACTGGGTCTTTATCGTAGAACATGGGGAGTTCAGCTCGGGCAGAAGTATACATTTGGGTGAGAGTCACCTCATAACCAAGGGCAGCACAAGGACTGGGCATCACTTAAGTTACATTTTACCTCTATGAACCTCATTAGGGCTTAAGTGGTGTGCAGGGTAACTTTCACCCTGAGCTCATAGGCCTTTGCTTTCCCAGCTCACAGTGTTCCATGTCTGCATGATCAGTTGGTGGTCAGGCATCTGTTAGTCCCCCAGTTGCTTAGTGTAATTGAGTTTAGCCATTGCTGGTTTCTTTGCTCCTCTTTGTAACATGGATCTGCATGTTGAGGCTTGATTGCTGCAGCATGGTGATTGTCACAGCTCATCTTGCCTTGGACTGGGCTGTCATTGCATGGGGAAACTCAGCTTTCAACTTTGGAAAGTGGTGGGAGCCCACGTTGGACTTGGGTATCCCCTGTTGGGCCCAGAAGAGCCCCGCTGCCCAAGTGTATTTAGAACACTGCCTTCTGCAAGCGCAGGCTTTGTGGCCTTTTCATGAAGGTGGCTAAGGACATGACAGACCTAGTTGCCCTGTGCCCTGTAGCAGGCAAGGGGAAGGTTTGCCAGCCCATCCGAGAGCTGGATGTGAGACTGCCCCAGAGTCATGGGAGCATGTGGCCTAAGAGCAGCCCTTCTGGAGAGGACAGCAGCCCCACCCAGTGCAGTTATTGGCTACCTGGTATTTATTGAAGGCTCCTCCATGAGGAGCAGTGAGGAGGTTCCACAGGTGGGGAAGGAGGTGCCTCTGACCAGGCAGCCATCATGCCAGCAAGAAGCCCAGGAGCCTTCCTGGAGCCTATTCCTTTTTCTCTTGGGCTTTTACTGTGTCTTCGGCACCCACAAGGGTGTGCCCCCCACTAAGGCCTTGGCCCCTTCCTGTTTGTGGGGCTAGAGGTGTCCCATAGAAAACATACCATGACTAATCTAGGTCTCCCATTAGCCTTTATCTGGTACTGGAACCCAGGGGTGCAGAAGAAACCCAAGCCGCCTGCAGGCAGCTGAGAGACTGCCTGCTTTCCCCCTTGCCCCAATTTGCTTTGCTTTTAGTCGCTTGTATTTTTTAAAAGGAGATGTATTTTTGGATGCACTGAACCACACCTCCCAGCCACTGGTGGGAGGGCAGCACCAGCACCTCACTACTGCTTCCCTGCAGCAGGGAGAATGCAGAGGGAGAAGGTTTTATCCCATGTCCACCTCTGGCTCAAGACTCTCCTATCCCCATTGCTCCTCCAGGCCTGGGAACTTGTGACTTGCTTTGAAATGCCCTAAAGGAACTGATCAGAGTTGAAAGGCCCAGAACCCCAAGAGGTCAAAACCACATATGTGCCGCTTTGTGTGGATCGGCGCCGCTCAGCCCTGGCGGGGAGGAGGGTGTGGAAGGGGGATTCAGTCTGATCATGTAGGCCAGTGAATGTCTCGGTATGAAAGGGATGATAGAAAATGAGCCAGGGGCTGACCCAAGTTGCACTCTCCTGTTAGCTCCTGGGGGAGGAGAAGAAAGGTCTCACTGGAGGGAATGTTTACATCTGTTGATTGCACATTTTATTGTATTAGGCTGTGTATCATTTTGTGTTAATTTCTCTGCTTTCATTGTCTGTGTATTACCAATACAGTCCTTTAATTCACAAAGGTGTTCACATACTTTGGTTTGTGTTTCCTAAAACCATGTGGGAGGCAGCAAGGGTGGTGGCGGGGGAGAGGAGGCGGAAGGTGGCTCCATGGAGCTGGCACATGTGGGGAGTCTGGTTGAAAGCTGGCTCCCCACCCAAATTGTTTCAGCCTGCTTGCCTGCCTCACCACTGCCTCTTTATTGGGGGGGAGGGGAGGGGAGGGAGAGTAAGCAAGCAGGCAGATCCAGTGCTTGTGGCGAACCAGCTCCTAAGGGCCACTGGCTCCCACTGCCCCTGATATATGGGTAGTTGACAAGATTTAAATAAGCCCAGACTTATTGGTTAATTGTGTAGTGGTCTACATGTTGACATCCCTACTTAATATCCCATCCATGCTACCCCACAAGTTACCAAGAGAGGGTACAAGCCACTCTCTTACCCCCCTCCAATGATACTGGCTGTAATCCAGCTATTACTACCCTTTACTGTCTGTGCCCCTTCTCCCTCCATCACCCTATGTCTCTCCTCCCCTCTCCCATTTGCTGTCTCTTTCAGGCTGCTTTAAAATTGAATTGAAAGGTTGGGCAGAGCTAAAATGAAGGCTATTGCTATGCTGGTATGTTAACAGCTGTCACCAACCAAAAGTTCTTGGATCCATAGGCACTTACAGGTGGTTGAAGCTCTGCTAACCAGATGCCAAGGGCCATTTCCCCTTTTTGTTTTTGATTTTCAGCAAAGTCAGTAGGGTTCTGCTTTGATGGCTAGAATGTTCCTGCAGTGTTGTAACGGTGCATTCTGAAGCCATAGTGTTACAGCCAGGCCAACACATCCTTGAATGAAGGGCCTCATCCGAACTACCTGCCTTCACTCCTTCCACAACTCCTCTGGTCGGATTTCCAGCTGCAGGAAGGCCCCCAGCAGCTGCGTGTGCTCTTTCCTATGTTTAAATAACTTTATTTAAGAAACAATACACTTCGATCCTTTGGCTACGTCTAGACTGGCATGATTTTCCGCAAATGCTTTTAACAAAAAAGTTTTTCCGTTAAAAGCATTTGTGGAAAAGAGCATCTAGACTGGCACAGATGCTTTTCTGCAAAAGCGGTTTTTGTGGAAAAGCGTCCGTGCCAATCTAGGCGCGGTTTTGCGCAAAACAATACCGCGTTGTCTACACTGGCCCTCTTGAGCAAAAGCATTTGCGCAAGAGGGCATATGCATTTGCGCAAGAACACTGACAATCTTACATGAGATCATCAGTGTTCTTGCGGAAATTCAAGCGGCCACTGTAGACAGCTGGAAAGTTTTTCCACAAAGGCAGCTGCTTTTGCAGAAAAACTTGCCAGTCTAGACACAGCCTTTATGTCTTAAAACTATCCCTAGGAGCCTGCAGTTCCTTTGCTACTGGGCCCTGCCTCTGGGGGAGGGTGCACATAGGTACACCCCAACACCCAGGGCTTAGGAAGAACTATTGTCTTCCTGCCCTCTTAGTTAATTGGGCCAAGTGGCAAGAAAACAGATCATCCCAAAGACCTCATTTTCAGGCAGCGACTCCACTGGTCCCATACAGGTTTAGTGGGACTATTTTTTGAAGTGTGCCCTGTAACTGGTAATAATACACATGGAAGGTTTTGGCAGTCACAGCAGAGAGGCACAATGGCTGAAATCTCCTTTGAGCCCTAGAGGTTGGTCCCTTCAGGTCAGAGTTGAGGTACAGTAACAGAAGTTTTCCCAGATTCTGATTGTTTTGGAGCTTGAAATTTTCACTGTTGAGCCCATTGTACTGCACAGCAAAGAACAGAGAGGGCCCACTAGGACAAAGGGAAGGGGGTCATTCAACCCTTACACTTAATTACATTCTCTGTGCTGTGGGAGCCCCAGGACAGTCACATGTGCAGGGAGGAGATGGCTCCAGCCAAATGTTGATCTGCTCTCCAAACCAGCTTGTGCTATGGCTGTAGCTTCCTTTTGCCTTCAAGGTCCCCAGCAAAGACAAGGATTGCCAATGATTAATGGCTGAAGAGATGACCACTCTCCTGATTGGGAGGCACATCGGTGAGAGAAGGAAGAGATCTTTACAGTGGAGTCCTGTGGTCAGTAGTGCGAGATCTGGACCATGATTACATTGTCCAGCAGGTGTAAATAACTGCAATCAGCAGTACCACAGCCACTGCAAGGGCTGTGTTCTTGCGATTTTCCTTACGGAGCACTTTCAGTTCTTTCTCTAGAAAACAAAACAAAACCAGCATAAGATGCAGCCCCTCTCCATCAGAGCTGTCACCCATTGCCCCAAGGAAAAGGAAACTCCCTTACAGGGATGTGCTTCATCTGACTGCAGCAGCCTGCCTGGTACTTTGTTCCATTCAGTTTTCTTGTACATGTACAGAACTGATCAAACCGCCCCTGTGTGACCAAGACACCTCATG